AAAAAAAAAAAAACCCAAACCTTAATTCCAGAGCCAAGAGGAACTGGGCGAGGGGACACCCCGCACGCAGCCCCGCGGTGTGAGGGGCACGGGGACACCCCGCCCTGAGCCACATCCCACCAGCGGCCTGGACACCAAAACGGGCCCCCACCAGCAGCACCCCCAGCTCCACATCCTCCTGGCCCCGCTCCCAGGATGCTCCGAGGGGACACAAGATGCCCCCAAAAGCATGACGGAAACACAACCCCTACAGCCCATGGGGACCCCGCTGTGCCCAGAGAGGGTGGCTTTGGGAGGGCAGGGTCACACCCCCACAGACAGGGATCCCTGAGACACCCCCCCCAACCCAGCCCTGGGGTATGGGGTGTTGGCCACGGCCCCTTCCCCCATCGCCACGCCGGCACCTCGGGGCCCCGCAGCCCCCCCAGGCCCCGCAGCCCCCCCAGGCCCCGCAGCCCCCCTCTCACCCGCCCACTTCAAAAGACCCCATTTATCCCCTTCAGCCGCTTTTGAGCCCGGCGAATTCCCGGCTGGAGCAGGCGGCTCCCCCCGGCCCCTGACAGTGATAGAGAACCTCCGCCTAATGGGCTTTCCCAGGCCGGGGGCCCAGCGCCTCATCAATCTTCCGGGGGCAGGGATGGGGGGGCCGGGGGTCCCCAGCACCGCACCCCGCAGGGCTCCCCGGCCCCTGCCCCGAGCGGGGCCCCGCAGCAAAGCGGCCCCCGCCACCCGCGGCCCCCGGCCTTCAGGGAGCACGTTTTGCTCATTAATTTTTAAAAATTAATTAATTACGGGGCGCTGCGGGGGAGCGGCTGCGGCGCAGAGGAAACCGGAGCCAGCGGGTAGGGTGACAGGCCAGCCCAGGCGTGGGGCCCCCCGTCCCGGCAGCCCGGAGTGGGGCTGGGGGGGGCCCGGCTGCAGCGGGGGCTGGGCTGGGGTCCCACTTCCCACAGCCTGGGAACCAGGGCGAGGGAGGGTCCGAGGGGGCGGCTGCACAGGGAGCCCCTCATGGCCCCCCGAGATCCCCCACGGGCCAGCACTGGACAAGGGGAGGGGACTCCCAGGGACAGCCAGGTGACACTGAGCCCCCAGGGACAGGGATGAGGGCACAGGCACAGCCCTGCCACTGCCACATGCACTGACACGCATGTACACACCTGGCATGGGAACCTGAGTGACGCTACACTGTGTGTGGCATTAACACATGGGCACAGCGGGCACTGACACACACACATGTGACACAGGCGTGCACACCCCACACAGCCCCAGCTGTGCACACACAGCCACAGCAGGCACTCACACACACACACATGACACAGGCGTGCACACCCCACACAG